AAACGGTCATGTAATCAGTGAATTCGGAAATTGGCGAAACAGACAAGGACCCAATTAATATCCGGGATTTCTTTGATCACCGCCCGTAAGAGAGCAAATATTAGACTTGGACCCACAGCCACTGGTTGAAGTTGGTTCGGGAAAAAAGGCTTCTTCGCAGAGGCACAAATTATGCAAGAAGCAATAAGGTGAGTTATAACAGTTTAGGAGAAAGGATATTGTCTAAGCACAGTTTTATTAGTCTGAGAATATCAAAAGGAATAATTCATATTTAGTCTGTTTCGTCGGCCTGAAACCTCTCAACCTAGACAGACAGCGACGCTAATTAACTGTTGAATACTTAAACTGTTTTGGAGTAATTAGTGCAATTTTCGTGAAAAACATTCCAGGTATTTCGGCAAAAAAGTTATCTAAAGTCACTTAGCTGAAAAATTAGCGCCGTTCCCGCCCATACAAAAACATGACCAAAAGACGGTTTTTTAAAGCAAGCAATTATTGCGCCAATCAACGTTTTATTGACGTGTTTCGTGTATAATCGCGCCTTTAATAATCACTCATTTCCATTTGTTTCGCCTGATATTTAAATACGTATAAGTGCAAATAAGTGTGAGCAATTTTAGGCGACATCTTTCACGCAGGAAATTCATTCCAGTTGCGTGTCATTATTAGAAACACACTCAAATCGACGTGAGCCAAAGCGATCCATAATCCGGTTTTCGCCTAAATGCTCCTGGTTTGTTTATCAAACGTGCTGATATACGAAAAAATCGGGAAAATGTTCCCAGTTGGGCATGGGAAGAGTGGAAAACGGGAAATAAACCTGCAACCCGCACAGTTTCTCAAAAAAAATGTATAGAATCATTAGTTGTTGTCATCATCATCATGTTCTGTAAAGATGGATCGGTGGGTTTCAACACCTATAAGCGAGGTTGTCGTTTTTTGTTGATTTCAACTGTGAAGAAGGAGGAAAATCAACATGTTTTTTTCTATACTGCTATGGGTGGCTTCGGATACGTAAGAAAGTCCAGGATCAGGAGTTTTCGTCAAAAAATCCCAAAACATGCCTTTGGCTACATATTCTGCTGTTCCAAAAATATCTTGAACCATTCTAGACATGCTTGAATGTACTTTCGGTTTCCAGCTCTATTTCCCTGTTTCACGCGTTCGAAAAGCTTAACTTCACCTGCAGATTTCGAACGATTGCTGTTATTTTCCTGACACCTCATGTTTCGTATTGATTTTCTGTATAAAAATGACGCAAATTTGGTTCCACTGCCTTTGCTGGGCCTTCACCTTTGACTTAATTAGACGACTGCTAGCCCTGGCTGAGCAACAGGTTTGAAATGTTGCTTTCAAGGCATTTTTTTGACCAATTCATTTCAAATGTCTAATTAGCAATGCTGCTTGATGGGACAGATTAACATTTTATCTAAAATATTGTTATGAGGAAATAAGCGGGTTTTTCAGTCTCTTTACGACTTTTAAATTTCGCATTTAATGTGCCAGGAGGCTGTAAGACTACTCCCAATATTCGATAGCTCCTTTCCTCCTTATCCTTGATTAATGTCGCCCCATTTCACATAACAGTTTGTGGCCGAAAAGGGCCTATAATTAATATTATCCGGTTCTCAGTTGACTTATGATTCAAGCTAAGGGCTTTAATAACCACGATTCGTGACACACATTTTTAGATAACATGTAATTAGGATTCACTGAGTGCCCTTCTTCAGCCAAGGGCATTAGGGAGTTATAAGGGGGTTAAGTTTAGCTCACGCGTAGGACGGTACATTCTGATGCAGTAATTCCCGCTTTTAAATGCTTTTTAATTTATATCCTCTACTCGAATTTAATAAGCGAAGCAAGTTGTCTTCAAACTATTTTACAGTAAAGTTTGCCATGGAAACATCATGTAATAAGGACAGTTTTCTTGAGTTTTCCTTCAACTTCTTGAGTTGTTAAAACGTAGCTGATAAAATTTAAGAAGTTGAGCATGGGAAAGTTCAGCGCCGCTATTAGGTAGGGATCGAGAGTTAATCGAGAGGCGTTTGCGACCCAGTTGAAATAATTTCGGTTGAAAAAATTACACTTTTCTCTGCCATGTTCAACTGGAAATTTTCCGCTATTGCCGATAGAATAATGAAAAATTTAGTAGAATCAGTAAACAATTGCTCGAGTGCAAATTGGACCACTATTGACATGGGCGAATGTTGAATGTCTTTTCCCGCCTCCTCTTTGCGAAAAACCCGCCCAAACCCAAGCAGAAATTATTCGATTTTGTTTACCGCCAGTCGCCGCCTAATTGAATTTTGATTGGCTGTAATTAAAGAAGGGCTCTCATCTTCTAAATGCCAGCTGCTCCACAGAGGAATTATTTCCCTTCATACTATGGTTTTTCCCGTGTTTGCCGTTCATACTATGGTTTGCTCGGAAGTTTACACTCAAAGGAACGTGTAATGGTAGTCGAGGATTCTTTGATCAATTGCTGTGTTACTTCCGTGTGAGAAACCACTAAAAGAGGCAATAAATTGGAGAAGTACAAAATCCGCGCTGGTTGAAAACAACAAATGTGATTCAAACTAGTGGGTTTTGCGCGCTCGTAGGCCATCGCGGCTAGGAATTGCTTCCTGATGTTTCGCAAGCTCAAGGCACTTTTATCCTCAGAGATGTTTCGCTCACGATTGAATTACATTAAAAAAAATTATTGGTTTACAACCGGCGATTATCGGTGTAGTAGGCCTCAATCTCCACGGACAGGCATAGACTGTTTATGTCACCGCGCCTATATGTCGCCTCGGCCGGGAAGTATTTAATTGCGAAATGCTCTCCTGCATCACAAAATAAAAAATAAAATAAAAAAGCAATTGCAAGTTTGGAACAAAAAGGCAAAAGATTGATTTTTTTTCATAAAATCTGATTAATTTTCTAATTTCAAGAAAATCGTATAAGTTTTTGCCGGTGTTTGTCTTCACATTACTTTAGGGTTTGTTACCCGACTTTTCATCGCTTTGTTCCGCAAGTGCCCATTGAACCCACCTCAATGCACAAGTTTTTTTTTTAATTGAGTTATAGTATGGTCGAAAGTGTCTGAACTGGTAGAAATGCCATTAATACGAGCGTTTATAGGCATTTCCAGCAAAAAGTTGTTTGCAGTCAATTATCATTAGTATTATTCAAGGATATCTATTATTGACCTGCAATCGAGTTGGTAGTGCATGTGCCTGAGTTTCTACTAGAGTTCATTGTGGCTTCGACCAAAAAACCATTCCATTCATGTTGGTATACAGGGGGGCGCAATTTCTTTCATCGCTCTCGCTAAAAACTGAGTTTTGTAGAGAAAACTGAGTCTTAAATAGCAACAGCGTACCTTTTGCACCTGGATGGAAGGTCGACTTCATTAACCTTATGCAAATCGCTCCTAAATCTATTCCACGTTTTGATGTAGATAGAAGATCTAACCAGAATGCCCAAAAAAGGTCAGTCACTTAATTGATTTAGTGGGTTTTAAAATGCGTAATGAAACTTTTATGTTTAAAGCAGGAATAATTATGATTCATGTTCAAACTATAATGATCATTTTTTGGCTTGCATGTCAACTGAGCTGGAAATAGCAGAAGAGTGCGGTCATTCAACTAAAAATTGATTTCAAAAAATTTTCCTTTACAGTTGCAGATTTTGAAAGGATTTATTGAAATGTTTGAAATGTTTCCATTTTATAACCAGCACCATTCAGGTTTTCTTGTTTCAAGGACCAGAACCAAAGAGAACTCACCTAATCTCCACAAAAGAAAAACTCGTTTATTTCCATTGGGACTCACGCCACTCACTCATCATCTTCCAGTTCAGCAATTACTCGTGAGTTTTCAGATCGCGGCAAACAATTTGAAAGTTTCCCCGCGGCTGGCTCAAGCACACTTTTCACCGGTCGAACAACGAAAAGCGAATAAGCCGGAGCGGAAAACACATCGCAGGAACTTTCCCAGCGAAATGGTTTGGCGTTCGAACGACGAAACTGTTTACTGACGCGTCCGAGCACCGTTTTGCCCAATTTTATTCACTGGAACCATCAGTTCCATATTTCGGGTTTTGGGTATCGACAAACGTGATTTTAATTGGGCTTGCTGTTAAACCTCGTCAACATTTGTTGGCTTGCCACCCAAAATAACAGCTATTTTTCTTGGTTTATTCACCTTTGACTGTACCTAAGCCAATCCCCCAACAGTTCGTCTCGTTTTTTTTTTATATCTCTAGTTTCAGGGTTTCAAGTGCAAACTCATGTGATAATTGCTTGCATATTGCAAGGGAAAAATCGTTTGCAGCTAAAACCTAGTTACTATCGCGAACATTAAAAAGCTGCAAAGAGTCCAAAAGCAAAACGCAATTTTAAAGGTTGCTGTTTTGTCAGGGAATATTTGCTATCGAATGGGGGACCGGGGGAACCGTAAAAGTGCCGATGCCGCCCTTTCGGCCCAGTAGAAAGTCATGTTGTTTTCCATTCCAGTTTACGCTTCAGCATAAAGCGCATTTGTGAAATAATTTTCCAGATTTGGTAAACACGCGAAATAAAATCACAGCAAAGTAGTCCACCCTGTACTCACCATTTTTTGCATACATGCTACGTTGTCCCGATGCTAATTCCAATTAACAAAACGGTTTTATTTATAAGCTGCAATTGTTTCGAATATTTTCGAAAAAAACCACTGGATTTCCACTTGGGTCATTTTCATAATTTATTAGCGATTGTTGTGTTTATGAAGATTTTCAACCGATTGCGTTGCATTAGAGCACGAAACAAAAGAAACAGTGGCCAATCCAAATGCGAGAAAATGGGACGATTTTTCAATTAACTCTCGACCCACACTTTCACCCCCGAATTAAAACGCACAGATCGCGAAATGAAAACAAAAATGCTCCTGGCCGCGTTTTGATAATATTTGACTATGGAACAAGCTGCAGGAGATGAGAATGTGTTAATCAGTTTTTGAAACAACAACTTGGGGCTATGAAAGTGGAATGACCAAAAAAACATGAAAATGGTGTATTTGACGCGGGCAGGCTTGCGGGAAAATAACAAGAAAAGCGCGCAATTATTGGTGAAAAACAATTAATTATGTAGGCTTTATGAAAGGCAAACAGCAAAGGAAGTTAATTAATTAATATAATGCTAAACCAAACGATGGAAATTGGAAAGCATCTAAAACCTGCCTGTCTCCAGGGGCTATCAACATCATAAACAGTAACAGGGTTGTTCAAGAGTTTCGCATAAAATTAATGGCAAAAGATACTGAAAAATCACCAGTTTCAACCCTGTAGTTCATTGTCAGTTCCGAGTGAGTTAACTATCGCAAAACCTTCAACACGCGTAGATGCAAAACGGTCATAAAAAAGGTACGAATTTTTTATGAACTCTGGATGTCATTGGAGAATTTTTCTTGTAGGTGTAATGCCACCAATACCCTCAATCAAACGGCAATTACGGTGGCCACTTAACATAACAGCCAATTACAGCAATTATTACACATGTTTTGCGCTAATATCGGATCGATTGCTGCTTTTCCCTTCGACGAAAGTGAATGTAACACTTTGCTGATCAAAGTATTGATCTGAACAACTTGTTTGTTTGGAAAAATTACCATAACAATTGAGTTTCGGTTGAAGTTTAGGATTTTATGGTCAATCTGGGAAAAGTCGAAACTTTCATGGGGCAAACAGTAGTAATTTAGGGCTTTTCTCGGAAGCGAAAAATTCTAGATTTTTAGCTGAAAGGTAAAACGAGCACAAATATACTCACACTTTTTTGCAAAAAGTCGCATTCTGCCTGTCTATTTCTACATTCTACAAGGTTTCCAGGAAAAATTCTGCTTTGTTCGCCTGAGCTTAAAAAATTAATTGGTTAAGGTTCAACAGTTTCCTATCCCATAAGAACTGCTGCAAGCAGCAAACAAACTATTTGAAATAAATCGAACTACGTACCTATGTAAAAGAGAGAAGTTGACACGCGAAACTTTTGCATTTTGTTTTGATGCTTAAAAAGGCAAAGTCACTTGGGAATTTTTGTTATTGTGCTTCGTAACTGAAACCTTCACGTCGTCTAAAAGAGCCGTTTGAAAATTTGGATGCAAAGCATGGAATGTGCCCTCAAGGGCGGATCCAGAGGGGTCATGGGGGTCATGACCCCCCCATATGAAATTTTGGCATAATCTTGCACCTAAGTGTCTGATATTCAAATTTCACTTTCTGGGTCAAAACTACTAGAATTTCCTCACTCACTTTGTTACGATCGAATCGAGTTTTCAATTCTCTATCCAACGATGCCAAAACGAATTCTGTGGCTCGAATGGTTCTTGAGAAACCTCGAAAAAAGCAGCGTCATGTTC